ATTTGTTTATTTATTTATTTATTTATTTGCTTGCTTCTTTCTTTTGAATTTACCAAAATTCAACAATATATTAAAAGTTTAAATTCAAAATTCTTTTATCCTTCAAACAAACAAATACTATTTCCATTATAAATATCTTTCATAATAGCAATTAATCAATAATGCATACTTGTATGAAGACTTCTTCCAGTTTAACTTCTCGGAAGTTGATATAATTGTGATAGATATGGTAAATTGCCGCTTACTTATAAAATTGATATTTCAGGATATTCCGGTTATCTTTCTTTTTTTTATTTTCACAATTTCTATTTCAAACTATTTACATCATTCATCTTTTCCGGTTTTTCCGGTCTTACTTTTTCATTTCAAATAACAATTCGTTTTTGATTAATTATCATAAGAAAAAAAAAAAACCAAATGCTTCATTATAATTTGTTCAATTTTTCCGTATAAAACGTTTACAAATTATAATAAAATCTTGAAATTTTTCATTTAAAAAGTTAATTAAATTAATTAAATTAATCTTTTCGGTGTAAAAAAAAAAGAAAAAGGAAAAAATTTTTCCCAACTCTTACATATATTTATATGATAAGCTGTTCTGGCATTGAAAATATTCAAGCAATCCTGAAATATTCAACACTCTTTTTTAAATTCATCAATCAGTATATATTCCGGAAGTAAAGTTCATCTATTGATAATGTGCACTTAAGCATATATTAGTAAAGAAAAATTTAAATATGTCATATTCAACAATGACATATGACATTTTTAAAAATGAAAATTGGATAAATATGTCAAATCAAATTTTTCGTTTGTTTTATTTTTTTTATTTTTTTTTTTTTTGAATCTAGTATTTTTTTCGAAGATTTTTACATATTAGTGATTAAATTTTTTTTTTTTTGAAACACCTTAAATTATCCTGTTAACACTAATTTATCAAATATTTATCACCGTGATTAAGGTTAATTAATGAGGTTAATGAAGTAATAACCATAGCATATAGCATGTACTATTTAATCAAACGTCATCAAGTAAATTAGACAAATTGGTATAATTTGCATAGGGATGGAATAATATGCTGATAAATTTAACATTTTCCATTTAAAATGATTATATTTAAAAATGATTGTATTAGAAAATGAACAATTTTAAAATATATGATCTATAATTTCTGTTATAATTTTAAGATATTTAATCTATGATCTTTATTATAAGTTTTTTTTTTTTTGGATAAATACTTTGACGATGGAATTATCAAAGCATTGATTAGATATGCATTTGAAAAATGAAAAAAAAACAAACAAAAATCTAGAAATTTGCAAAAAATTAAAAATTTACCAATCACTCTTAATATTATTAATATTTTGATCAACAGCCAATAATCTTTAATCTTTAATCTTTTTGAATTTTTTTATGATAAAAATTTTGCTTAAATATTACAAGTAAGTAAAATGTGTAAAAATTATGAATTAAACTTCTACACGTATTGCAATATAAACTATATATTAAGAAAATTTATTTTAAATGCATTATAATTATTTTTGATAAATTCCTCTTATCTTATCATTATCACTTAATGATATGAAACTACTATGCTATAACAATTTGAAATCACTGAAGAATTGTAGTATTGAAATAATGAAATTACAAGTGAAATATGTATTTAATTCATCTTTGATAATGATCGTTAGGATTAATACTACAAATCTTTTTCAATTCAATATCTCAAAATATCAAACATATTATTACAATTATTTGGATCAGTTATTTAGCAACAATTACAATTGTTTATATCGCAATTAATTAATTGTGATAAATTTTAACTTAGTAAATTGATTTGTAACGTCAAAGAATTGCATAATAAGAATATTTATAGAACATGTGACTTTAACTAATTATGATACAATCTAAATTTATCAGTAATTGGCGATGTTTAAAGATTTATATGATAAAATATTAATTTAAATTTCAAGTTTTGGAAACCGGAAACTATTAATTAATTCGAGTAAATAAATACTTATATATATACATATATATTTATACATACACATTGCTTTGAATAATTCATTTCTTAATTCATTTTTAATTCATATTTTCTTTTTGAAATAATTCATTTTCATTTTTCAAATTTTTATTAAGCTTACAAGATATATGAGTTTTTATTAATTGTGATGGCAGTAATATATGTTTGCATCAAATTATTTTTAATATTTCGTTATAGAATTAACTCCTTTATACGGTAAATAGAGAAAAATTTAAATTTAATAAATACAGGAAATATTGCTAAAATAAACAATAAATTTAGGTTTTGAATTAGAAATTTTATTAGGATAAAGTTTTTAATGGAAAAGATAAAATAATAAAATATTTAATTTCTTGTTCTTCTTTTTTTTTCAATTATAAAAATTTTATTTGTGTAAAAGTTATCATTTATTTATATTTCTAAAATCAATATTAACTAATATTTAAATGGATACGATTGAGAGATCACCGAAGTAATAAGTAAATTAATTAATTTTCTATTAGTTTTATATATTTTTAAGTTTGAAAATATTTTATTTATTATAAAATAAATCAAAAAAAAAAAACAAGCTTATTTAATCGTTTTTTTTCCTTTTTGTTTTGGAAAATTTATTTCAGCTTCTGAAAATAAAATTAATAGTGA